TACAGGGAATGTACAGAGCTTCTGAATAATTTTGCCTTATTAAGGCTTGAGCTCCCTTGTAAGCACCTGACATTAGATCTGTTATCATATCCCTGACGGCGACAGGGATATGACAACTTTTTAGTCCTCAGTAAAAGCAAAAATTTCTTTAAATGCCAACACTTATTTCATATTTTTTATTAAGCAAATATACTGTATGAAAATATTTGAAACTTCTTGTGGAGACAAAGATTACAAACTTTTGATGTTTGGTTGTTGGGCTTACATTGCAATCTTATTTTTCATCGTTTCATATTTTATGATTTTAGTCTGCATAATTTTTTTAGACAGGTGTTATTTTTATACTTGGGTGCATTAAATGATTTAAGTTGGCATATCTTAATTTATATGTGTTTTCATTTATAACAAAATAAACTGTATATTTGAATTCATGATCTCCAAAACATAAAATGGCTCGGTATACAATATTGCATAAAGAAATTGATTATTTAATGACCAAATTTTTTTGTCAATGCAGTTGCATGATTTTGATTATACATTTTTATTGAATTGTAAAATCTTGTTGCTATGCGCATTATTAAAGACTTTAAGCACGCAACTGTAGCTAACCTTAAAATAGTTTCGATTAAAAAACTTAATGTAGATTGTGTCCTACCAGAGAGTGTCAAAGATAAGTGTAAGTCAACTAAAGCTAAGAAGCGATTTATAATTTATTTTCAACATTTTTGCTAAACAGGAGGTTGTACCATATAATTTTACGCTTGCAATGTTTATTTTGATTTTTATTTATTTTGATTTTTGTTTATTTGTGATTGCTGGTGAACTTCAAATTGTATTCTGATTTATGTAAAGCCTTTTCATACGGAGGAATGAAATTATTAAAAACAGTTTCACTTATAGTAAACAACCGGGGCCCCGGCTAAAAATGAGACTTTTTGTAAATCAGACCCTGGCCCTGGCAAAATTGTAAGATTTAGCAGTCCATAGCTGGGGCCAGAAATGAATTTATAATTCTTTATACATTATAATAATTATAATGATAATGATGATAATGATGATGATGATGATGATTGATGATGATGATGATGATGATGATGATGATGATGATGATGATGATGATGATGATGATGATGATGATGATGGCAATGATGATGATGATATCAAATATCAACCCCGTGTTTTACTATTCACTCACCCCTTTTACAATACGGTTTACAATACAGTTGATAGGAACTGTTAATCAGGTTTAAAGTTACATCAAGATAATTAACAATTTTAATATTATATTGAATGGAAATGAGTTGGTTGTTACTTTCAAAAATACACATAAAGAGTAAAGAATTTTTCCATTTGTTGACCACATATGTTTTCAAAAATAGCAAGGCGTCGAATCAAAACAAAATTATTTTTATCGTAATGCTGAGTGAGCTGAAAGAATCAAAACAATCAAAATGCTGAAGAGTTGAAAATGTTGAAACAATCAAAAAGCTGAAACAATCAAAATACCAATTAGTTTGAAAACTTCAACTCCATCAAATGGTCCCATTGTGACATCAAACAATCCATTGCTTTTTTTTGCATGATTTTTATCTTGAAAAATTTTGCAGGATATTAAAAATTGATATCATGCAAGATTTTCTTGCATGATATCAATTTTTTTAATCATCATCAATTATAAAACAGCAAAATTGCAATGATAAAAGTCTTTACACTATTAGTTGGGTTTAAATCATTTACATCTAAAAATATTTGCAAAGCTGTTTATAGCTGATTTTTTTAATCCAACCTGTAACAAATCAGGTATTTTGCCATCAATTCAAGTGGAGTTTATTTTTAATTCATCAATAATTTTATATAAAATGAATCATGGCGTGCAAAAACTACACTTTTCGCATTTTTTTACTTTTCGATTTTTTTTATCAAAAAACAGAGTACTTATAATTTTGATGGTTTATTAGATATAACGAAAGAAGATGGACTTGGATTGCATTCAGAAAATCAAAATTTTTATTTAAAGCAATTAGAGACATCTAGTAGAGTGCAATATATTCCAAAGAAGCCTGATGATCCTAAAAAAATATAATCTTTAAAAAAAACTAAAACTGGAAATGTTCCATTTATGCCATCAACTTCAATTCTGAATGAATACAGAGAGAAACACTAAAGTAGTAATGATTCATTAAGTAACAGTGGCAGTAATTATATACTTTCATTAAATATTATTATACAAAAATTAAACAGAGGACAGTCGAGACTGTTGAATTGGTTAGTTGAGTAAAGCTGAGTACACAAAAAGCTGCGACAGTGTGTCAGCTAATGTCAATCTTTCTGTACCAACTCAACTCAACTCAATCCATATGGCAGTCATCAGAGAAGATAAAAAGTTAGGAGATACATTTAGAAAATAACTAAAGGTCGAGTGTTTGAGTTTTGATGGGAAAAAGATAGCTGGGGTGGAACATCATAAAAAAGAGGTTAGACTAAAGCCAATGGTATTGAAGAAGGGAAAGTCAGAGACAATCTTTCAAGGATTTCGTGAACTTTTGAATGCATATGATTTATGGGGATCTATTAAACTGATCATGATAGACACTGCAAATGTTAACACTGGGAAAACAAGTAGTGTGATAAAGAGATTAATGACATATTTTGAAAGTGTTGGCTTTGCAAAACCTCTCTATGTTGGTTGTCAGCACCACATATTAAATCAAATACTAAAGTTATAACTGAATGATTTTTTTGAAGATAATATCAATTCACCTGATCTGTCATATTATTTTGTTGAAGCAATACGTAGTAAAAATGACCACTTAACATCAAATTTTATAGTAGTATACAATTGAAGGATAATGAACTGAAATGGAGAGATCGCATGCAGTTTTTGACGCATTTTATTAACGTAGCAAAATACTTTTGAAATGAAAAAAAATTCCCTAAATTTTAAAAGTTTACTAAATGAGCTTGTTGCTGGAAAATGGGCAGATATCTGGTTTTCAAACCAAATGTTCAACCCTGTCAATGGTATTGAAGATCATCCAGAGGCTGCCAAAACATTTACTTTTGGTGTGATAAACCTTTGCCTAATAATATGCAAAGATCCAAAATTTGTGCCAAACAAGTAGTAAAAGTGTTTTAGAGGATATCAGAAGTCTTGGCAAAATCAGAAGTCTTGGCAAAAAAACCTTTAATTTGAAATATTTTTTAACAAATCACAATAAAAGCAAGAGCTATTCTTTTTAGTTAATGTAGTTTTATCAATATAGTTTTTTAAACATTTTGATGTTTTGTTAACTTTATTAATTTAGTTAAATTTACATGATATATTTTTATTAACTATTTAAATACAAATTATTATTTTAAGACAAACGGGAAGACATTTTACTTCTAATTACCAGTAAAGAACCTCTAGGCGCATTTGATATGCTAGTAACAGCATTTGGCTTAACTTTCTAGTGGGTTGGTGAGTTTTTTTCTAGAAACATGATAACGAAACTGAATTCTGGTAATTATATATAAAACCGGATCAGAATATGACATTGAGTTTGTAAAAATATTATATCCCTAACATATATATATATCATATGCGGCTTTTCATTTTTTTAGAAATAAATTTCCAGGTACATCATTTAACTAAAATGATTGTTTTAACTAGTTATAAAAATTATTTTTTTAACTTTTTTAAACAAAAAGCTAAACATTACTATTGATTACAACTTCTTTTCTTAAAAAAGAAATTGTAATTTAAATTTAATTAAAAACATTTTAACTAGTTTTTTTTTAACTTGAGCTTTTTAATTATAACTTCAAAATGCTGAAATAGAGTCAAAATATCATAAAAGAAAAAGGCAACTTTAAAACAAATTTTAAATTGAAAAAAAAAAAAAAACACAATTTAAAATTTTATTGGCAAGTTTAAAGAGACAGAAATTCTTTATGATAGTGAATGATCAAGTCGCTGTTATTCTATTATTACAGAGGAAGCTTCACAAAACATTAGAAAAATGATCAAAGAAACCAACGATTTGTCAATTTGAAAGAGTTGTATCAAAATTAGGAAAAGCACATACAGCTATTACTGATCTATTCAAGAATTGAGTTTTCAACCATTTAAACAAAAGTACAAAAGCTACAAAACAAGAGCAAAGTGAAGATAATTTTGCAAAATGATGGAATTTTGTGATATCATTTTGCCAAAGTTTGTAGAAAATTTCAACATGTTAAATAAGATTATATGGTCAGACAAAAGCCAATTTATGCTGAACGTATTTTAAACCATCATTATTGTTGCTATTGGGTCTACTCTATTCAGCACAACCAAATATATTTGCCCAACTCAAATAATAGAGTGATGGAACAACTGTGGAATAAATTATGGTGATTTAATTGATACATATTTTTTCAACAATTACAGATTATTCTTATTTACAAATGCTTGAAAAGTTTTAATGGCCTTAAGTTAAACAACGTGGAACATACTTTCAACATGATGGGGCATCTACCCAGACGAGCTTTAACCAAAAGACCTGCTTGTTCTACCGTTTTTTTACCTCCAAACTCCTTTGTTTGGGGCTACTAGAAAATTATTGTATACATGGACAAAACGTCTACAATTGGTGAACTTCAACAAGTAGATTGAACAAGAGATAGACAGTTATTTGTGAATTAAATTAAAAAAAAAAAAAAATTTACTAATAATATCATTGATTAATATATTAATTTATAAATATGTAAATAATACATAGTTATTTATTACATAGTTACTTACTTAAATACTATTAATTAGTTATTAAGTTATTTAATAATAACATTGTTATTTATTAACATATTTGTTAACAATATTATATATTTTTAATTATACAAAAACATAAATAAAGAAATTATTATTTTTGAAAAGTTTAAAAAACCTATAACCTATTAAAAAATAAATTAATTGAAAATATTAATAATAGCACATTAATAAAATAATTTCAAAGTTATTTAAAATAAAAAAATTTAAATACCATAAACGATGAAATTCACATAGGCAGTAGCATTATTATATTCACCCACAGCTTCACATTTAAATTGCCCCATATCTTCAAACTTAAGATCAGAAATATAAATGGAATCATTAACAACTTTCATATTGCTATTTAAAATTGCATTTGGTGATAAGCGAGTCCATTGAATACTGTACTTGCCATCACCTCTAAAATGACATGTTATCTTTGTATTATTTTGTCGCAGTCTGTCGCAAGTTTGGATTTCATTATGCAAGCTCTTGTCCACTTTCATTAGCTCTACAAAATTTTATAAACATTTGTTTGTTTTGTAAGCTCAACAACAACAAAAAAACAAAGTAATTTCAAGTCATTTAAAATAATGTAAACTTATGAATTTCAAAAAGTTATTATATTTTTTAATTAATAGAAAATCAAACACAAAACAATAATTATTTTTCTGATAACTGCTACTCATTACATTACTGTTGCTCATGATATATAGTATATTATTAATGTATTCAAGAAGCAAATTAAGCAATCCTGAATCACAAATTGTGATAGACCAAAGCCATTTAGGTAACATTTATTTGGTAAAATGTTACCTTGGAATATTTGTCCATTAGGTTGGGCAAAGCTAATTTTAAAACTATCTTTAAGAAATGTTTTTTTTTTTTTTTTTATTGTTTATTCATACAAATGATTTTGAAGTTGATTAAATTAATAATGATCTTTATTTATCACATTTTTATTTTTTAAATTTGGCATATAACAATAAGTATTTTTATCCTGTATTTGTATTACCTGGATTAATATCTGTTTAATACAAATAATATTTAAAACATAATGTGAGAATAAAATAATTGTGAGAGCCTTGCGAAAAAACTTTACTATTTTTATTGCAATATTTGTTGTTTTTTCTGCAATTTACTCTTGTCTTGATAAGAAGCCAGCAGTCTCTGATTGCTTGGAGGGGGCATTTGAGCTTGAAAAAGAACTCACTTTTGCTATAGCATGGGGTTCTCAGTGGCTGGTGAACTTTAACTCAAATAAAATTCAATTTTTTAAGGTAATTGTTATCTCAATAATCTAGATCTTCCTATATTTATGAATAGTAATGTACTCGATGAGTCATCTACCCTTCATCTTCTAGGATTAACTCTTACTTCCAATCTTTCTTGAAAACTATATATTAAATTAATTTTGCAATTAATTTATTATATAATTTTGCAATTAATTTATTATATGGTTTTCAAGAAAGATTGGAAGTAAGAGTTAATCCTAGAAGATGAAGGGTAGATGACTCATCGAGTACATTACTATTCATAAATATAGGAAGATCTAGATTATTGAGATAACGATTAGCTTAAAAAATTGAATTTTATTTGAGTTAAAGTTCACCAGCCACTGAGAACCCCATGCTATAGCAAAAGTGAGTTCTTTTTCAAGCTCAAATGCCCCCTCCAAGCAATCAGAGACTGCTGGCTTCTTATCAAGACAAGAGTAAATGGCAGTATCATCAGCAAAAATAGTTCCACCTTAGATATCAGAACATCTGGGAAATTGTTAATGTAAATTATACAGATCATCCAGGTCCAATTTTTCAGATTTTAAAAATCTGGAAAATTGTTTGGGTTACATGTCCGAAAAAATTTGAAATATATTTTCTTCCTAATTTTACATTTAACTCAGTTGTTTTCAATTTTTTTCAAACTTTTTTAAATTTTTGTATGAGTGAAAAAGCCTAAAAAAGAAATATATTTCAAAAATATATATCTAAACTTGTATGTGTAGAAAACCTTTTGGATATCCGGAAAAACTAAAAATTAAGAAAAATATCCGGAAAAAGATAATCCCTAAAACTAAAAAGTGTATAGGGCAAATAATAAAAACTTGAGGAATCCCTGAAGTTGCAAGATATTAAAAATAGTGCTGTCCATTGAGGACAATTTTTATACTACAATTGGTAAAGAAGGATTCAATAATTTTTAGGATGTTAGAAACATAGAAAATGATAGCCTTAACCTCTCCACATCTATTTAATGCACAATAAAATCTATCAGTTATTACTTTAACAAATCAGCGGTAGAACGAGAAAATTTAAAACTATTTTGATGATCAGAATATAAGTTATTAGATTTAAGATGAGAGTTTAAGTGTTTATTGAATAAAGAATGAAAAACCTCGCTTATGATAGGAAGAAGACTAATGGGACACTAGTTAGACTTGTCATATCGCTCTCCAGAGTTTTTGAAAAAAGGGATAACAGATGCCACTTTCTAGCAGGCTGGACAATAAGACTCTGATAACCACTTGTAAAATAGTTTTGAAAGTGTAGATGACAGCTCCCGAGAATACTTCTGCAAAACTATAACAGGTATGTTGTCTGGACCGCAAGCTGTAGAAGAGTATAACCAGGAAATCACTTTAGTTACAGAAGTTGGAGTGATACAAATGTCAAACAATCGATCAACTTGTTTTTTGGTTATATCAGGTAGGATGTGATTAGTGGAATTAAAAGATAGGATTAATGAAAAGCTCTTAGCAATCAATTCAGCTTTGTCTTTAGGTGAGGTAGCAAAATCTGAACCATGTAAGAGAGAAGGAATTTACCCTTATTATAGACACTGTTAAAGATTCTCCAGAAGTCTCTGGAGCCTAATTTTCGAGATGAAATACAAGACTTTGTGACCTGAGCTCAGGTCACAGAAATTCGGCTGAGAATAGTGGGCTTTGGCATTAGACAAAACTTATTACAGTAGTTTCTAGCAATAGTAAACAGGCATTTGTTTTCTGAAGAATTGTTTTGGCGATAGATATAGAAGTAATGGTTACGATTGGAAATTGCAGCAGCACAATGAACTATAACTTGGACTATAAACAAATGTTCATCTTTATTACAATTGAAATTTAAAAAAACTAAAATAAAATTAATAAAAGCTAAAAAAATTTCAAGCATACTTTAATTCTAGTATTCAATTCTATCTTTATACTATTAAAAAACAGAAAATAACTAAATTACCAGAACCACTTAACAAAATAACGTTTGGGTTCTATATACTTATATATATATATAAATAAAATGTGCAATTATAGTTACCAAAAACATTCAACTGAACTTTAGCAGAGCTGATTTGAGTACTTAATTCTGTTTCGCATAAATAAATGCCTTCATCTTTAACAGAAGCATTCTTTATAGAGAGTGTACCACCAGAGATAATAACTCGATCATTAGGGATAACATCTTCTTTAGTAACTTTGCAAACAGATTGTGAATTATCTGTTGTTGAGCAAGTCTCAATGTCACGTTTCCATTTAACATTAAGAGGAGGATCAGATTTTGATTCACATTTAAACGTAGCTGATTCTCCTTCTTTAATACTATCGCTTATTGGTGAAACATCAACATCTCCTACAACTGAAAATTTAATTTAGATAAACTTTTATAAATCTACATTATGATACATTATAAAATATGTCATAAATATTGATCATACATTTGAAGCATGAGGGGCACAAAATATTTAAGGGATAAAAAGATCAAAAATGGAATATCAAAAGATATAACTTGATTACTTTATAGACATGCTGTAACTGTACAAACTAGTTGTTGTAAATGCTTTTTGAAATTTCAAAAAGCATTTGTAAAACTGTATTTGTAACTGAATTTTCATTAACTTTTTTTTCATTTTGTTTTCAGTACTTATTTTTATTTCTCACAATTACAAATGTTTTATTTTAAAGAAAAATTGCTTAATAAAACCAGTTTTTAAGGAATTAATTAATTGTAATATAAAAAGTTTTCTGTTCAGAAATCAAAAGTTAATATAACTTTTTATAAAGCAACATTTTGCTGTTTAATTTACACAAGTAATTAAATGGTCAGTAAAATATTAATAAAAATGGTAGGTAAAAAATTCATAACATACATACATAAACAAAGGGTTTTGGTTTGGGCTTAATATATCCGAAAGAAAACCATTTGTTTATGTATGTACTTTATGATTTTTTTACTTACCATTTTTATTAATACTTTACTGACCATTTATATATATTATATAGATTTATATATGATATTTATATATATGATATACACTATATGATATAGTCTTAAATTTCAAAAAAGATAAATTACTGACTAAATATTTCAAAAAATATTGACCATTTAATTAAATATAATGACCATTTAAATACAAGCCTTCAATTTACTTTACTTTTGAAACATGTATATAGTTGTAAGTTAAGTACTAGATAAAACTTACAACTTCAAATCAATTTAAATATAATTTATTTATATAATTTCAGATAAATTTAAATTATAACTTCATATAAGTTTTTATGTAAGACTTTCATATACAAACAATATTCATTATTAGATAAAAAATTATTTTATAAGATTCAAAATACTTTTATCATTTTCAAAATGTTTTTATGTTTAAATATGGAAGTGTGAGAATCCTTTAGATAGTAAGACAATACACTTTGCTTGTCTTTGTGAAGGCAGTAATGGGGTAAATAAACAACCAAAACAAGCTTATGTAATAATATATTACAGTATCTTAAACTCTACATAGCCAAAGTTAAAGAACAAATAGTTACTGGAATAAATCTAAAAATTGTCTACATTAGGACATTCTGTCAGGTATAACACTAATGAAGATCAATTACTGTTACTTGAACCAAAAAAGAAAATAATTTTATTTGACACAAGTTATACTTAATAAAAGTTGAGCAACCATAGCGAATGTTACTGATGTTGTAAGAAAATGTATTCAGTGCTTAGTATTTAGAACTTAGATACCTAAGTATTATTGTAGATAGATTTTATAAACCCTTATAAACTCTATGGTCTAAAAACATTAAAATATCAGAATTTTTGTTATTACATATTGCTATAAGTTATGCTAAATGTACATAAGTTTAAGTTATGTTGTCTTTTAAAAGACATAAATATATCTCTTGAATATATAGTTGTTGAAACTATTTTTATTTTGTTTGCATGAGTTCTCTAAGCTACCCTAAACATAAAGTATTTTTTTATTTGATTTCAATTGACAATTTCAACAATGTACAATGTAATAATGTACAATTTCAAAGAAATTAGTCATTTTTTAATGTAAAGATTACTTACCAACAACAGTTAATTTTGCTTCAGCTGTACGCTCAGCTACCGAATTAAATGCAACACATGTATAATTACCAGCATCTGAGAGCATGGTCTTTTTTATTCTTAAAGTCCAACTACTACTATCAATGTTAGGGTTATCAGGCGATATTGTTGCTCCATTATAAAGCCATTTTACTTTAGGTTGAGGCTTGCCCACTGGCTCTTCACAAACAATTTCAGCAACATATCCTTGAAGAACTTTAACAGGATCGATTGAATTTAACTTTTGTAAAACTGAAAAAATAAAATTTATTATTAAAAAAAATTATTGGTGAATAAAAAAATATCAATAACCTACAATTTTGAATTATTTCTTATGTAAATTTGCTTTGTAGAAATATACATAAATACAATAATTGTCTGTATACTATAAGTATACATATAAGTCTAGATAAGTATATATGTGCATGCTATAAGTATACATATAAGTCTAGATAAATATATCTATATGTATGCTATAAGTATACATATAACTATATAAAAGTATAGATAAGTATAGATATGTATACTATAAGTATACATATAAGTAAAGATAAGTATATATATGTATACTTTAAGTATACTTGAGGTATACATATAAGTATAGATAAATATAGATATATATACTGTAAGTATACATATAAGTATAGATATGTATACTATAAATATACATATAAGTATAGATAAGTATATATATGCATACTATAAGTATACATATAAGTATAGATAAGTATACTATAAGGTATACATATAAGTTAATATATGTATACTAAAAGTGCAATTCAAGAGATCAATACTAGCTTGTTTTTGCTATGCACAGTGGGCCAGAATTCACTTTTTCTGGACAAAATTGATAACTAATTTAATATTAGGGCTATAATCACTAAAATTAGCACGAGTACTAATATGATGTCTGCCTTTTTATGAAGATGCTATTTTTTTATTTCGTTGCTATGGATACCTTTGTTTTGCTTAGCAACAACCTATTTTTGGGATTTCCAGATATTTCACGAGTGCTATATTTACTAAAATTAGCATGGGTACTAATATGATGTCTGCACTTTTTATGAAGGTTTTTTTTTTTTTATTTTGTTGCTGGATACCTTTATTTTGCTTAGCAACAACCTATTTTTGGTATTTGCAGATATTTTACGAGGGCTATATTCACTAAATTTGGCATGAGTACTAATATGATGTGTGTATTTTTTATGAAGGTGCTATTTTTTTATTTTGTTGCTATGGATAATTATATTGCTTAGTTACAATATCCTTAGTTACAATGGGGTAAACAAAATGTCGTTATAACATCGTTAATTTGTAGCAATAAAAATATAGTAAACAGAGAAAAAGCAGAAAAAATGAAAACAGAAACACAATTCAAGTAATATTGCAGTGAAAATGTAATGATATAATATATTTACACAAAATCTTTAAGTGGTACTTCTTTTAGTAGCTCTAGCACTCCATCTACAAAGTCTTTCTTCTTTGGATGATGTGGTGTTCTCAAAATACTAATAATTGAATCAGATGAACACATCAATCTCCTTAACAAGTCTTCATTTGTTTTAGAACGGGAGCGCTTTCTTGAAAAAGACTCCCAGAACATCTTGAAGTCCTTGTTACGTGCTCCTTATGCCTCTGCACTGAGCATGCAAATTGGCAAAGCCATTCGATCCACAACTTGCCAACCATGAATAAGAATTCGGTGCAGGCTCTGTGGCATGTGGTACCATGGATACTGGTTCACATATCGTTTAGCTGTTTGCATGCAGAAGTCTCTAAATCGAGAAGAATCAATAACATAATGTGACGATAAAGTGCACAAAATAACATGCAACATCTTAATGATGATGACATCTAGTTGGAGAATTTCAGCAGTCTTCTCTGCATTTTGAAAAAATTGTCAAGCAGTATTGCCAGTGTTTGAAGATCCTGAACCACAAGTCCTTGGAAAATCAATTAAAAGCCCAACTTCATCACGAAGTTTCTTTTGAATTGATGTCTTTCTATCTTGAACTATTTTTTTTTCTGATGGTTCTCATGTTGACCATTTCTGTATTGTTAATTTGTAGCTTATTTTGAGAAGGCATTCCATAGTTCTGATCCATTCATGGAGAGTTAAAAGCCCATAATTAAGTCCAGTTTTTGTAATTGGGAGATTTTTTGCAGTATTTAAGTCATTCATTTTTTTTGGATTGCAACCACAAACTGAGCAGCATTGCGATGATTTTGTTGCTGTGGATAGTGCTGTGGCAACTTTCCCATCCACCATTGTAGTTTCAATTTTGTGCAGAACTGTTAGTTTGTCATACTTTTTAGTAAATAATTTTTCTATTGAGTTGTAAAGGAATTGTTCTTCTTCTTTTAATACATCTGATGTTTCTTTTTTATAAGAGAATCTTATTGGTCTGCAAAATAAAGTGGATGGTGGATGAGGGTTGGACCAAATAATCTTCTTTTCGCCATTACAATATCCACATAACTGCAAAGGCACAAAGCAAGTGAGGAATAAGCTGGCTTCATTTGTAATATTTCTGTTTTCTTCTTCTGTTGCTATTTGAGTATAAAGGCTTTGCCATCAAAGCCAACTTTGGACCTTAGGGTCATTCATTGAAGATCTTCTAAAAAGTTAATAACTTCTAACTGACAATCTATTAAACGTAGTGCTGTATGATTGACCAATGCTTGCATGTTGACCTCTGCAGAATAGTCAGTGACAGTCCATAGGTTATTCTCTGGAAGACAAAGTACTTTTGCTTTCCGTACATTATTATAAGCTGGATATAAATTACAGCCTTTTCTTACAGCATTGTTCTTTAGGCGCTGATAATCAGACTTGCTCAGATTATTATCTAAAATGAGTGCTAAGGCTTCATTGGGAGTATTTTGAACATGTTCATCAGTTTAAGTTTTTGATAAATTTCTAACTACCTTAGCATGCTTTCTCCTTCCTTGTTTCCAAAGTTTGCAACTGCTAGCAAACAACAGCTCGTTTGAAGAACTTACCAATGATTCAAGTTTTGACACTTTCCTCTTTTTAGATTTATCAGATGATTCTTCAAATGATTTACAAGGCCTGCCAAGAGATAATTTAGGTGTAGTTTCTGTATTGCATAAAGAAAAGATTTGTTGGGGACTAATAAAGTCTTTGCAAAGCCAGGCTAAATTTTTATCCAAAAATATATCATTGTAACGTCCACTTGCAGCCCATTGCTTTCTGTATTCAAAAGTAAATTTTGAAAATTGAACCTTACATTTAGAATTGCCAAGTTGTTCACTAATAAAATTAAAAACTACTAGCTTATCTTTTTCATTTGATAATGATAATTTGTTTTCTTTTATAAATAAATGGATTTGATTTCTACTAATACTTGACATAATAAAAATAGTCTAAAGTTAAAAATAAAACAATTTATCAACAGGTTTTCATTTATTTTATGTAGAAATATTTTCTTTTAATTATTATAATATTAACTATAATTAAAAAGTCTTATTTTTGAATCAAAATATTCATTAAATTATAACATAGTGTATTATTTTGTTCGCGAAGTTATATTTTATATACAATATCAGGGGTGGATCCAGCATTTTTTGGTGTTTGAGATAGCTAACTTCCAGACATGTAGCTAACTCCAAACATTTATATGTTTATACTTATGTCAAATAAGGATGGTTTGCAAAAAATTGCGATGATTGGAGCCTGGGAACAAAAAAGCCCCAAAATTTGAGACGTACCTGCCCCAAACGTGAGAGCAACAAGTTGATAAAATATTTTTTGTACTATTCTCAACAAGACTTATATTTATCAATAAATTTTAAATTCCACTGTAAAATATTTTAGCGCTCAAAAATTGTGACCATATAAAAATTGTAACCCCCTCGAATTTAGGGGGATTCAAACTTTACATGGTCATAATTTTTGAACACTGAAATATTTTACAATGAAATTTAAAATTTATGGATAAATATAAGTCTTGTTGAGAATAGTACAAAAAATATTTTATCAACTTGTTGCTCTCACGTTTAGGGCAGGTACGTCTTAAATTTTGGGGTTTTTTTGTTCCCAGGCTCCAATCATCGCAATTATTTGCAAACCATCCTTACTTGATATAAGTATAAACATATAAATGTTTGGAGTTTGCTCCATGTCTGGAAGTTAGTTATCTCAAACACCAAAAAAGGCTGGATCCGCCCCTGAATATTTTTGCAAATCATTGCAAATAAAAATTAATTTAGCAAATATTAGCAGCTAAATTAAACATATTTTCATAATATGGATATAAAAGCTTCAAAATATGTATATAAAATAACAAGATACTACAAGATCTTCTATTTTTTGTATTTTTTAAACCAAAAAATACACTTCAAATATTCTTTTAATGAAATATTTAAAATTATTATAACTTATTTGTTTTCTTACCTATTTTAATCTAACAACTCTTAAAATGCAGAAAATAGACAGTTCAACAATAAAATAATTTTCAATGCGCAATATTTAATACAGTGTTACATTATTACCATTGATTTTGTAAACAACATTTTTTGCTTTATTATATATTTTTTCTAATTTACGTTTGCATATACTTTAACCACATAATTAGTCTATTCATTACAATTTTAGATGTATATAAAAGGTTTTAAATTGTTTCATAATATCTATAAAAAGGTTTAAAACCATTACAACATAAAAATTCTGACTTTGATTTTTATACTTTTGTCCAGTCAGTGGCCCACTGTGCAATACTAGCTTTGTTTTGTTAAGGTTAAAATAATTTAAACCATGTGTTAGTGCTGAAAAAAAAAATTATTTCACCAATTGCTTCTACAGTTACAAAATATATAAATGCAAATTTAGCTGTGTCACTGGTTATGTCATATTGAAATTGCCATTTGTAAATTAGTACATATAATGTATGAGAGTTTGAGCTTGTGCAGGCAGTATTTATATGTAAAAGACATTTTTAAACCAGATTAAAATTTTATTTTGTGTGTTAAGCTTTACATTTTAAAGAACAAAGAGAATATATATATATATATATATATATATATATATATATATATATATATATATATATATATATATATATATATGCTAACTTATTCATTACACAAAACATCTCTCCATCTTAGATTTAATGCAAAAGCAAACAAAAAACTTAATTTTTTTATAAAAAGGGAGAAGTGTTTTTGTTTATAAGAATTCTTTTCACAAATGTCTTATTTTTTTTTTTCTATATTAGTTCAATATTGTGTAA